CAAGTCTCAGTTGTTTCCAGGCAAGAAGCTTACATTCTTTGGTGAGATTAGCCTGTGCCTGAACACGAGCCTCACAGAACAGGCTGAATGCAGTTTAACTCATTTATTACAGAAAATATCAAGGACCAGCACTGGAAAATAAACCCTCTGCTCATAAAACAGAGACTACTTACATTGCTAGAAGCTTTTTTCCAGTTTTCATGGAGTTTTCCCTCTGGAAACATTCCACACCCACCTGGACACATTCCTGTGTAACCTGCTCCAGGTGACCCTGCCTTGGAGGGGGGTTGGACCAGATGATCTCCAGAGGTTCCTTCCAACCCTAACAATTCTGTGATTCTGTAATAATCTTTATGATTTACTTTCTTACCACTGGCAACCTATTAGATATCCTGGAGTATCCAAATACACCAGAAAGTGTAAACTGGAATCCCTGATAGTGATAGCAGGGGAGGAGAAATGGGGCATAGTTCAATATCACAGTATTTTTGACCTTGTCTGTGGAGAAAATACGGGCTTGAAAATATCTAAACCAGACAAAGAAAATCAGGATAATTATATATTTCACTGTTAGAAATATGCTGGTTTTGCTAGGTTAGCCCATAGCAGCCTATTGCAGATGCCACATTTCAGCCAAAGGCAGAGAGAATGACATGGATTTTCTCCATATCACAGAAGGACAAGGAAGCCACAAGACAACACATGGCTCAAACCCCAAATGAGCACATCCCCATCCAACGAGGCTGGTCTGTCTCCGCTGGCCAAAGCTCCCCAGGAAGATGGACACTCTGCCTCCCCCTTCTCATAAGGAGGAACAGCTTTGCCTCTATCATTACTGTACCTGTTACATAACCTGCTGTAACTTACAGGCAGAAATTAATTCAGAAACAAAGCCAAATTAACTGTGTACACAGACAATGTGAAGTTTTGTTTCCAATTAGAAAACCCATTATCAGCTGCCCCAACTACATTATTTTCTTCTGTAACTCTTTGATACAGATGTCCTGTATTGCTCCACCTCCTTAAACACTCAAATACTTCAGAATTAGTTGAATTGTGGTATGAGTCATCTAATTTCCTTTTCCAGTAAGGGTCACTGTTGGAAAATTGGCATACCAAGGCTAAGTAATCACATTACCAATGAAAATAATAACAAGTTCTGTCCTGGTTAATCAGTGCTCTGCTTTTTCCAGTTTCTCAAAATAAGAATACTATATACAGCAGAATGAAAAGGGGAAATGAACTAAATTAACCTTATTGCTCACAATCCATCTTTTAAACCAAAGTAAAGCAGGGGAAAACTCAGTAATCCAGTTAAAATGGGGGGAAAAAAATCCCAAAACACCTTCCAGTAGTAAAACTTTGCCACAACACATTCACTGGCAGCAGAAATTGAAGAAATTGCTTATGGTCAAGGAAAAATGGTGACAAATTTATCAAGTTTATCAGTATGAAAACCTATCCCTGCACCCTGACCTAAAAGCTCCACATGATCTTTAAGGACCGATCAACAAAGTAAAAGGCCTGAATGTGACTTAACCCTGACTTTTACAATTTTCTTAGAACACTTCATTTGCTTCCAAATGCAGCATTCTGGGAAACAAAATGCTTTCAAGTACTTAGAAGTGCAATATTAAGATCCCAAATGGAGTGTAATTTATGTATGGACTGCTTGCAATGTGAAATACACTCCAAAGGATTGCCCAAAGTGCACATCTGCCTCAACAGCACCTGATACTCAATATAAATACTAAAAGAAATCAATATTAAAGGATGATATTAAAAAGAAATCTACTGAAAACTGGTGCTTTGCTTGCACTTCTGAAGAAGACCTCAGAATAAACACAGTGAAAAAGCAAAAGTACAAGCAAACTAGTAATTGCTCAGCCAGGCAAGACAATAAAGAACAAACATTCCACCAGTAGCCCTTCCCTAACCCTGTTCTAGAATTAGGGTGTAATTGTGGCAGGATTTCCAAGCAGGGAGAAGAAACACCCAGACCACAGAGGCCGGTGGCAAGTCCACAGGTAGTCTGTAACTAGCCCTCAGAAAGGGGAAGCTCTCTCAGAAAGACAGGATTTGTGAGCAGCGTGCCAGGGTGGTAACTCAATCTAGAAATCAGCCTGATGCACCCATAATGACCTACAATGCCAGGAAACCATCACCTCTTTTTCAAGGGCAGTGTCAAAGGTAATACTTGCAACTGTTAAGAAAGAACAGGGCACTAAAGGAAGTTGCCCTCTGTTGCCTCCTGTCATGTTACAAACTGTTCAAAGAGAATGCTCATCTTGTTGGAGATACAAAGAAATACTCCAGCTGACATCAGCCCTTCTCTCTACAGTGAAGAATTCAACTAACATAGTCATCAAGAAACAAGACAAGACCTGCCTTTTACAAGAAATGGGCACAGAGAGAGAAGGTGGAGTATACCTTGCAGACAAGGAAGCAGGACAACTCTTCCAGAAGGAATACAAGCTTACTACTTGATTTAAAAGCACAGAAACCTCAGCATACATAACACAAAACTCCGGGCACTGTCTGTAACTAAACAAAAACCTATTTGGTGTCCCACTGGCAGCAGTCACAGATGGTGCCACTCACTGCAGTTCCCAGTATTGGAACACCCTAAATGGGACAGCTCAGTTATAAGTCATTTTGGAAAGTTCTGAGATGTGGTTTTCCTCCAAAGTCATATCCGGGTGGCTTTTCAAGGACAGTGTTCTTGTGAGTAATTACAACCTTTCTAATAAAATTGCCTAACAAGAAGGTAAGTTTGATGTCAAGTCTAGGCCTTTGCACAACACTTAATTTTTCAAAGCTGCAATGCAATTGAAAGGGAAAAGAGAAGTCACCCATCTTCTCATGCTGAGACATCCACGGTCCTCTTTTTAGACATTCCATAACATTCCAAAACAAAGGTAATTAAAACAATTTAACTGCTCCTTCCTAAATGTTTTTTCCCTGTCATTTACAAAGAGCATGCTCTGACTTCAAGATAAGGCTCATGCCTGCTGTACTGGAACCACCCATCTGAAGACAGAAGATCAGTCTCACTGAAAAGCAGCATCCCTCCTCCAAAATATTTGTTACATCAAACCCTTCTCCTTGTGGAAGGGACATCGCCAAAAGACACCAAGGCTCCATCCAAGACATCCACATACCCCCTTCACACCACCACGGCAGTGCCTATTGCCTTTAGCGCGCTCCTTCCTGCCCCGCAGGAAAAGATGTGCCTGAGCTAACACAGCGCGGGGGCTCCGCCCGGCTGTGCTGGGGACGGCGCA